TATTTTTGGCCCAGTGATTTTCCTCCAACCAAAAAATTATAAATAAACATGTGATGAAAATTTTTTGACAAATTTTTATATCGACCAGTTCCTACAGCCCACAAAAAGATGGAATATCCGAACCACAAGATTTAGTCGCAAAATTTTAATTCATTTAGTAAGAAACAACAGCATTATACAAAAGGACAATATCAATTTTTGTTAGCCGGCTTCATAGTCAACGAATAAAGACCTCACACGTCTTCTGTTCTTTTTTTTCTTTGTAAAAATAAAAAAATAATATGACTGCAAGGTGTTCGGCTAATTGAATTCTTAATATTCCTAAACCCAATCATTTTCCAGCATACCTCCCTCAACCTTACCAATACATAATAGATGATGCTGATTTTCAGCTCAGTAAACTGCATGTATATAAATTTATTTATGCGACTAAAACTTATTCCGTGTACCAAAAATATTCGAAAATAATGAAATAAATGTTAACGGCTAAATGTCTGTTTGAATTAGATGCTCAAACATATTCGACGTTCTTTAATTTTTATCCAAGTAAAGCGATCCTTTATAACTTAATTGACAACATTTAACAGTAACATTCTGTCTTCATAAAATTAGCAGCGGTTTTCCTTTCTAAAAACAAATTGATTCACAACTAATCAAGCAAACTGAACTGAGAATACCATAGAAAAGTCTCGAAGGATTAGACTTACCAATAATTTTCTAAAACAAGGTCCATGTAATTGGGCAAATGCATTTTTTAGAAGGTTTAAACTGCCATCCAGAGCGAACTACGTAATCTAAAAAGACTAGAAAGAGAAGTAGTTTCCTGTGTTTAACAATAAACAGGAAGTCATGTAGAAAGAAAGCTTTCAAAAAATTTTAAAAAAAGAACAAAAAGGTGCTAATTTCAAGCAATTTTCGAAACGGCGAGGAGGTAAGTGCAAAAATTTCTGCGTTAAAAACGAGAAGCCCACAGCTCTACATGCGCTCAGAAGCATGACAAAGCCCAATCAAGTCCTCACCAGCTTTTTGCATGAAGCCCGGTCGTTTTTTCGGTAAATGTTCACTTTTTGAAAAAATGCAAATTTCCAGTTCACTAAAAAGTGGAAATGTTGCTACAGCGGTCGTTTATCAAAAAATCCAAGTAGGCAAAACCGAGCCTAAAATTCAAGTTTTTGCTTGATACACGCCATTTCCAAAACATATGTGGATCAGCCTTCTTTAGGCTAACAAGGGATCTTTTTCATTCAAGCAAGTACCATTCATTAAAACGAAACATCCTTTCAATGAAAACTGAGCAAGGCAACCAAAAATCCACAATGTAACAACAACAAATTTTAGAATCCCCGCTCGTTACTTTTCAAAAATAATGGCTAGTAATGAGCTTATCCGGTAAAATCAACTTTATCACCAGATACCGCGCAATCGTATGCTTTTTTTGCCTTTTCTTTATATATTCTAGCTTTTTCTGGATCACGTTCCACTCCTTCACCTATCCGGTAGATCCTGCAACAAAGCAGTTCATTAAAAATTCTAATTACATACGTCAATTACGAGACGAACTCCATTAACTCTACGACCAAAAAATAAAGAAACCTGGATACATTTACACAAGATTGAAAGCATCCGAAATCACATGCGCGTATGCCGTATTTCAAGGCCAAATCCATGTTTCGCGGTAATTCACCCAAGTTCGCATTTGCTTTCCTCTAAATTTTTATCTTTTTGAAAAATATGGACATTTTGAGAACAGTTAAGCTTATTTTGAAATTAAAAGACTTACGGACAAGACATCTAAAATACTTCTCAGCGTCTAACAGAAAAAGTGCGCAGGGAGTGACGCAAGGAAAAAAGATGGATAAGATGGAACAAATAATTGGATAGTGCACCGTCTGCCGGTGCAAAGATGCTTTTTTACGCAACGCCCAGCGGGTTTTTGTCGCTAACGACACCAGTTTTTCCCACTAGATGCTCCCAGCTAAAAGAATTAAGACTGGCCACAAAGACTATCAGAAAACATGCCCTTGAAATTTCAACTTTCCAGCTTCTCTGGTTCTGGAGTTAGCAGCTTATCCGCCAAAAATTTTCACGAGCTTGTGCGTGGAATCTACGCAGGCAAGACTGCCCAATTAAAAGATACAGGTCCGTATGTATGCGTATAGATTAAATTCCAAAGTTTCAGCTTTATAGCTTTTGTAGGTCTCGAAATGGAAACTCGATACAGATGCACATATAGATAAACAGACACACGCAGACGCACACATACAACCCTTCGACAATATGCGTTTTTGCACTGCATAGATGCAAAAAATGCGCAAAAGCAGCGATTGCAACAGTTTTTGCACTCTTCTGATCGGTTCGCGCCGCCAAGCAGCGAATTCCCTACTTCCTTTCACGCGAAATTTACGGTAATCATACATGCTGGAGGCAAAGATTTCACGCGGCCCCGTGATGCAACAGCGCCGTCCAAACTGATATCATCTTCCTTACACTTATGAAAAGACTAAACAGGAGGGTGGGGAGACGTGAAAAATCGCAGAAACGATCGAATCATTCTCAACAACTGCACTCTTTTACCAAACTTCTTAACCGGGCAGGTCTGCGCAAACACAATAGTAAGGGAACAAAACTTACAGGCCTCTTAGAGGTACTTGTAACAAATTTTGCGCCACTTCCAATATACCAAGTGCTTAACAACCAGCACGCTTCCACGTCTTCCAGCTCACAGGCTCTAAAATAAGTCCCAATTATTAATCAAATATTTATAATTCAGGAATGAATATGCGATCTAGAGTTGGCTCCATCTACCGCAACAACCCTCTCTTCCGAAACAAATTTTGCTCGTCGATTTAAAGCCCAAATTCTGGCGCTTAGCCATAAACGTAACTGAAATCCTGCTCAACGAATTCTAGTCATCCAGACTTGCAAATTTTAAGGTTTCCTAGTGCCAAAAGTTCTTCATCTTATGGTGCAACATCGGCTGATATAAAATCAAGTCATGGAAACAGCCAATACTACCCAAAAAATACAATAATTTTGCACGATAAAATCAAACAAAACGATACTTTTTCATATATTTCTCCGCCAGTTCTGGATTTGGTTTCCGGTCAGACTCACCATT